AATTACAGAGATGGAACAAAAAAGCAAGGTTTCTCTTTATCTAAATGACACTAGAAGTATGAGAAAATGAAAAGCAAGCGGCTGAAGCCTCACACTCCCCTAGATAAAGTAGGAAGAAGAAGAGAGGACCCTGTCCCGGGCAACAGTAAAGGTCCGTGGTGTCTCACCATGGGATGCAGAAACCTGGGGGACTTAGGCACGGAGGGACGTGGGTGTGTTCCACCAACAGATCCCAGGGCACTGGAGCAGATGGGTCCCACTGCATCTCAAGTTTGGGAATTGAGGTGGCTGGTGACTGTAGTTTTTATCTATCATGCTCATACATTCATAGGTGCTCACATGTTAACAACCCACTAACCCTTCCCAATTGTAAGGCTTAAAGCCAATTCCACTTTAACATTTAAACACAACACCTTTGCTTAATCAAAATTCACACAACAAACAAAAGGAATCAGTTTGCTAGATCCAGAGACACAGAAGCATGGAACAGACTGACAAATTTCAGAGGAAAGGTGGGGGTTGTGGGTGGGTGGGGAATGATTAACTGGGCATTATGTTAAGTGAAATAAGACAGGTACCATGCAATTTCACTTATATGTGGAATCTATAGAACAAAATAAACAAACAAAATAAAAAGACTTATGCATACAGAGAACAGACTGATGGATGCCAGAGGGGAAAAGGCTTGGGGGGCTGGGTGAAAAAAGTGAAGGAATTAGATGTACTAATTGGTAGTTACAAAATACATGGGGATGTAAAATAAAGCATAGGGAATATAGTCAACAATATTGTAATAACTATGTATGGTGCCAGGTGGGTACTTGAAATACTGGGAACATTGTAAAGTATATGATTGTCTGCCATGCTGTACATCTGAAACTAATACAAAATAATGTTGAATGCAAACTATAGTTTAAAAATAAAACTTTTAAAAATGAATCTGTGAAGTCAAATACCACTGGAGAGAACATAGTTAAAACACTTTAATCGACACCATCCTCTCTTCCTTGCTTTTGAAACCCACACCATTTTACCTGGCCTTTCTTACTGCATTCTAGCTTTTACAGAATATATCACATTCCAACTTTATAGACTTATTTATGTATGTGGACCACCTCCCTTCATGACTGTTAAGTTCCTGACAGCAGAATCCATATCTAAGATACCTATTTTTCACCCACGGCATAGAAAAGACATAAAAGTAACATAATAAACACTCATAATCAGTTGAATAAGCTCAGAAAATGTTCACACGTGAACATAGTCAAACGTCCCTGGGAAACTGAGAGGTAAAAACATGACTTCAACAGGCTGAATTAAAGACATTTTAAAATGCCACATGTTTTAAAATGTGAAGTATGCAATGCATGATCTTTTTAAATCCTACATTAAATGTGAAAGAGATTTAGAAGAGAGAACATAATAAGGAAACTAAACCAGGATAGAGATTAGCAGTCAGTGATAATAAATTGCTTCCCTGCCCCAAATACAAACACGCACATGCACAAAAAAATAATTATGAAGCTGGAGAAAATGTTTAGAAAAAAAACTCTACTCAGATAGGAAAATATGAAAAGTGTAAAGCTTTTTCTAAAAAAACTTATTTTTGAGTGTTGTATATTGATATGGTTGCAGTTAATCCACCATAATCTTTAGAACCAAACTCATTACCAAAGGGTTTTGCACAGTATAGGAATCTCGATCAACTCCCCAACCTATGTGACCCTAATTTAATAATAATAAAAAGCCTTCCTATTCCTTCTCAAGTGTCTAAATTATGGCTAACAGCAACTACTACACCAAAATCAACAATTACACAAACCTCTTGTTGGAGGGTATATCCTTCACTTATATTGTTTAAAAAAGAAACATGAAATAAAAGACAGCTAATACATACTATAAGTAGGACAAGAAACCCATGTCATAAACACAATGCCAAATTAGTGAGGTCTGAAATTCATAAGTGTTATGAATGGAAGTGTGTCCTCCAAAAGAGATGTGTTGATGTTCTAGCCCCTCATGCCTCATAATGTGACCTTATGTGGAAACAGGGTCTTTACCGAGGTAATCAAGTTAAAATGAGGTCATGCAATGTGATTTGAGTCCTCAGAAAAAGGGGAAATTTGGATGTAGAGACAGAGGCACACAGGGAGCACACCATGTGAACATGAAGGCAGAGATCAGGGTGATGCACCTACAAGCCAGCAATGCAATGATTGCCAGCACACCGCAGAGGCTAGGAGAGAGGCAGGGAACAGTGTCCCTTACAGAACCAACCCTCAGAAAGAAGCACTCTGCCAACGCCTTGTTCTTAGACTCTGGCCCCCAGAACTGTAACAGAATAAAGTTCTTGTTTAAGCCATCCAGTTTGTGGTGCTGTTTCTGCAGCCCTAGCAGACTAATGTCATGAGGTTCAAGGTAGATCCAAACGTGACACGTGTAAATTAACATATGTAAAATGTTCTCAAGCCAACAATCAGTGAGATCTCTACAAATGCCAGGCAGCTTTAGTGCAAGATACTAACAGCTGCTCTTAGAGAAGATGCTAAGGACAATGTTTAAAGACGGAGGAGCGCTGCAGACATTTATGGGAGAGTGGTCAGGAATGCTGCAACAGGAATTCCAACATGCAGCTGGCTCTTTAAACTACGTAGCACTTCAGGGGATACACCAACCAAAGGCAGCTCTCACGTCTTGCTAGATGGCACATATAACTAGGGTCCATTGGCCTGACCTTGCCACCTTAAAGCAAGCACAGGCAGCCTGTCACGTCTTAAAGGAGGCCAGTGGTCAATGGCTTTGATCTCCAGCTAGAGGAAATTAAATGCCGCATGTGACCAACAGGCTTGAAACAGCTTGAGAAATGCTGACAAGATACATTTAGACCTGCTGGAGTGAGAAGTATTAACTGTCCAGAGCCATCCTTCTCAAAGACTACAGGTACTTAAAAGGCAGTCTTCCTTTTATTCAGGCATAATAAATGGAGGATTTCTCACCCATCCCCAAGACTGTGACATCAATCTTAAAGTTAAACATTTAATAGAGTTACTAGCTTACATTTGGAAATCAGCCAAGCACATCTTTTGTGGGAGGGCACTTCAAAATGATTGGTTTGTTTCCTTATAATGAAATTGCATGTTTGCTTCTGTTTGATTCTGATTAAACCAAGTCAGAGCATATGTGAGAACCATCTGGAATATTCAACAAGGATCAACTCTTTCCAAGGAAGGCCTTACACTGTGGAAGCGGTACAGTGTAATGGTTAGGAAAATAATGGCTTCAAACCCAATAGATATGAGCCAAAACAAGTATTGCCACTAACCACCTGTATGGACTTGGGACAAGTGGCTGAAACTCTCTAAGCACAGTTTCCTGGACAAATGGAGATGATAGCAATATGATCTAATCATATAAGGAATTGTGAGGAGTAAACAAGACAATGCACATACCAGATTATATTGAACATAATTGCTTAACCCAATGTAGTTATCTTCATTGCTATTAACATTAAATGTACAAGTACTTTTTTATACAGTAGGGTACTAACTATTTTTCTTTAGGAAAATATTTAAAATTTGGGACACAAACCCTACTGAAATTAGCTCAACCATTTAGACCAGGAGTGAGGAACGTCTGGCCCTCGAGCTGTATAAGGCCTGTGAAGTCATTTGGCCTGTTGCCAAGGCATTAGGGGGGAGTTAATTAAATGTTTGACCAAATATAGCAGGCCAATTTTTAAGTTGATAATTTTGTATGGACTGCAAATGATGTATAAATATCCAAATGGCTCTTGGCAGAAAGAAGGTTCCCCAACCCTGATTTAGACCATTACCATAACATTCTGTAATGCTGAAGCAACACAGTTAAGTCATTAACAGCCACCTATGTTGTTTTCTTTTGCATTCCCCATGTTTATTTTTCCTTAACATAAAAAAAAAAACAACCTTTGTTTTTTCAAATATCTAAGATCTCAAAATTTATACTAGTATTTTTGACTTTCAGCACTTCTGCACTTCCTTTCTTACACATATCTTTCTTTATCAGGAATATTCCTTCACCTTCTTAACTCAAAAAATCATGAACAAAGGTATAAGAAAACATTCCATAAAAGCCAGAAACCACCCAAATCAGCATAATTTCCAATTACATGTTTAAAATGATACTTCAGAGAATTTTCTTTTATATCTTTTTAATTACTTAGCTTAAAATTTCCTAATTTTTATAATGACTTAAAAGGAGACAAAAATGGGAATAATTTAGAAAATTATTTTTCAACATCATTTAGTAATGTGATTAAGATAAAACAAGGCTTGTGTCTCCTACAGTTATTTCAGAAATAGTGTCAAGTTTTCTACGAGCCACAGGCCTCCAAATACAGTAACTCCGTGCTCCTAACCACATCAGAAACATGTAGGGGTGACCTTGTTGAGGATCCAAATCTGTGCCCTAACCCCAGCATAGTATGGGGGGCGAGGACAAATGGCGGAAGAGTGGTTTCTCTTTGTGAAAATATATATGGCTTAATGTCAAAGAAGACAGGTGGGAGTCAGGGGGAGAAAGAGTATGCAGTATTTTTAAGTAATTTCTGAAAGATGGGGTAAAAGCTCCTTTTAAAAGATGTCAGGAATGGCCAATACATTTGGCTTTGTCAAACCAGTACTCTTACTCTTAAGCAAATACTAAACCTCCATGAGAAATTAATTGTATGATTCACCTGGAAAAGAATTCTCATCCGAGGGTTCCAACTCCAATGAGGGAAAAAGAAAACAAAGATGGGGGGATGGGGAAGGACAGGAAAGATAAATTGGACAAGTCTGCAAAACTGTTAGCAGGGAAAAAACAATTCTACTGACTTTTACACTTGTTAAAAGAACAGAAAAAGAAACCTAAGGGGGGAATTTATTATCTATTAAATGAAAATTATTTAAATATAGTCTGACTTAGTATTAAGAAAGCAGGTAGGTTTTACATGTGAAATATTCGGAAACTAATGCACTTACTTGCTTTTCCCTTTGTATACTGTAGCATAAGAGCCTTCCCCTAGTTTTTCCAGTTTTTCGTACGAGTCAGCTTTTCCAAATTTGGGACTTGTCGGCTGAAAATGGAGCAGAGGGTAAACAAAGCAGATTGTATCAAACTAATTAACAATAAATAACCCAATTCTGCTAAAAATATACAGATCCTCTGTCACTTTTTAAATAATGTTTTTCTGATGCTTATTTTTAAAAAGCAATGCTTATTTAAAAAAAACAACAACATAGATATTCAGGGTATAAAACTCCAAATATACAAATGAACAGTACAGAAGTTTAGATTGACCCATAATCTAACCACCCAGAGAAAATCACCATTAAGATTTCTTTCTCTTTTTTTTAACTGCCCTTAACTGGAATCTAACCCATTACCCTTCAGTTCGAAGTCTGACGCTCTATCTGCTGAGCCAAACCAGCTAAGGCAAATTTTGATATCTCTTCTTCCAATGCTATCTGCATACCGAATATTGCTTTTCTTACATAAATGGGATTACACTATCTTGTAACCTGCCTTTTTTCCACTATTATGACTATTTTCCATGTCATTATATAATCTTCTAAATTACGGGCTGGCAAATCCCACCCACCACCTGTTTTCATATGTCCCATAAGCTCAGAAAGGTTTTTAAATTTTTTAACAGAGGAGGATCAAAAGAAAAATAAAATGTTATAGCATGTGAATATTAAAAATCAAATTTAGTGTCCATAAAGTTTATTGGGACACAGTCATCCACTCATTTATATATTGTGCTATGACTTTCAAGCTACAACAGAGTTGTAGTTACAACCAAGATCATAAGGCCAACAAAGCTGAAAGAGTTACTATCTGAACCCTGTTGTAAATCATGACTGTACAAAATTCAGGCATATAAAGTTATTCCTGCAATACCTGTCAGTGACAATGCAAACAGATAATCAGATGTATCTTTCAGGTTCACTAATAATACAAAAGGAACTCTCTTATATCTTCAGAAACCAATCCTTAAGGTTTAGCTGTAACAAAATAGCTCTTCCATAAGAAATGATTTACCCCCGTGGTCAGCAAACTGCGGCTCACGAGCCACATGCAGCTCTTTGGCCCCTTGAGTGTGGCTCTTTCTAAGCCTGAGGAGTACCCTAATTAAGTTAATAACAATGTACCTACCTATATAGTTTAAGTTTAAAAAATTTGGCTCTCAAAAGAAATTTCAATCGTTGTACTGGTGATATTTGGCTCTGTTGACTAATGAGTTGGCCGACCACTGGTTTACCCCATCATGAGCTTAGAAGTGCTGAGAGAGAGATCTCATCACTTCTGTGCTCAACTCCTACCCCAACCTCACCAGAGAGCACTGTCCGCCATGGAAGCAAATTACCTGTTATTTTAATGGCACTATTAAAAAGGGTAATACCAAAACATATTAGAAAATGATAATTATATGAGAATTAAAAACATCTTAAAGGGATTATCTGATCATAGCTATACGTACATATATAATTGGTCAAAAGTTGTTAATGATTGTGGCACTTTGTAAGTAACCAACTGTAGAAGCTTAGAGAAATAACTTCTTGCATAAAGTTTACAAAACACTATTCTTGCCCTCAGAACACTTATGAAACAACACAGCATCCTGACAATGAATATGACTCCTACCATTTATAAGGATTCTGTGGCAAGTTGAGCATATGCCTCTTACCTCCTTGCCATCTAAAATGCCAGGAGTGCCTGAAAAGATATGTTTCAAAAATAATAAACCAGAAACAGGAATGGGCATAAAACAAAAAAGAAGAGCAATATCTAAGTGAAAATTTGAGGAATTCTGAAAGACAGAAGCAATCAGGATCAAGACTTCGGAGAAAATATTGTGGAAACTTAAAGATCCAACATGTAAGGCCATTACAAATAAAAGAAGCAAGAGTCTCTAGGTAAATATGAGACTAATCAACACAGCTGAGCATGAGGTGTCCTCCCAAGCAAAATGCAGGGACATGTGCACAGAGGAGACAGCTGAGAATGTGGTACTCAGGGTAGAGGGGCCGAACAAGGATGGAAGTAGCCAATAAATACTTAGAGAAAACACGACATGCCCACATCCCCAAGCCGTAATGCCTGCCTCTCCCATACAATTACAAGAGACAATTTACAGAAAACTGAATATGCTGACAGCAATTCTCACACACAAAAATGAGTATACAGCCAAGGATCACAAATCATTTCAGGAATATCAATAAGAGAAGCATAAAATTTAATGAGCAGCTCAACTAAAACCCTGGTAAAAAGAGTTGACATTGCAAAGATAAAAATAACTTTGCATAAAAATGACAGCATCTTCAGAGAGATTAGAGATTAAATATTTAATTAATGAAATAAAACATTTAATAGGCAATAAATAAAAGAATGGACATAAGTGAAAACATACTAAGTTCAATGTTCGAATAAAGTTTTCCCAGATAACTTTGGAGGCAGGTGGCATCTAAACAGAAAATTTACCCGACAAGCATAATATTTTTATAGACAACACTGGCTGAAGAAAGACAATTCAGCAATATTTTCAAAATGAAAAGAGAAATTATTCTGAATCACGAACACTATACTCAAGATAGTTCCTCAAATGGGATGGAAAAGCTGCAATCTTACCCCCTTCAAAAAAAGTCTAGATAAAATGAAATGGACTGGCCAGTGCCCAAGGGGAGGACGGAAGGGGGGTAACTGAATAAAGAAGGTGAAGGGATTAGCTAAGGAACATATATGCATTCCTCATGGACATAGACAATAGTTTGGTGAGAGCCAAGGAAAGGTGAAGTGGGAGAAAGGGGTGAACAGGGGGACACCTATTCTAGGGAACAACTGCAATAATGTCAACATTAAAAAATTTTAGAGGAAACCAAGATGGCGGCATACGTTACACACCGGAGATTGCTGCCTCGCACAACCACTTCAAAAATACAACTAAAAGACGGAACGGACGTCATCCAGAACCACAGGAAGGCTGGCTGAGTGGAAATTCTACAACTAGAAGGAAAGAGAAAAGCATACCGAGAATCAGAGGAGGCGCAGTGCGGAGGTGAAATACTAAGGTGCGGAGGTGCATGTGGAGCGGGCTGGTGGCTGAGGGCATGGTTGTTGTTTTCAATCGGGAGGGAGTCTCAGGCTCTGAGCTCCAGTTCCGGGCAAGTCTCTAGGGACCCAGACTCATACGGGAGAAGCGGGACTGTCTGACATCGGTCAGAACCTGAGGGCAGCTTTCTCTCTGAGGGGCTTGCAGCGATTAATGGGACACTGAGAAGCAGAGTCTCTGAGGGTAAGACTGAGAGCAGCCATAATTGCTAACCCCGCCCTGTTGATCCCATGGGACCCGCCCCGCCCAAGCCCTGCAGGGAGACTTTTGCTGGATAGCCTCAGGCAAAGGCTAGATTAGCACCTCCCTAGAGATCCAGGAGCCAGGAAGCCCAGAGGTCAGAGTGGGACCATCCAGTTTGCAGCTCCGTGGAACCACAAAGGACACACTCAGGGGGCAGACTCAGTGAGCACCAAAGCCCCATCGAAGCAAGTCTAACCCCAGAGGGGTGTCTCCAGCACAGAAGTCCTCCCACTGCAGACACAGCTGATTCTCACAGCCAATTGGCCTGGAGGTCAATTCCTCCCAGTGATAACTACAACAATCAAGGCTTAATTACAACAAGACTGTGCACAAAGCCCACAAGGGGGTGCACCAAGAGTGTCTACCTCAGGTAATTGGGACACTTAGCACAGAAAGGCACTCTATCGACACAGCGAAGCATAAAAAATGCCGAGACAAAGAAACAGGACACAAACGACAGAATTGGAGGAAAGCAAACTGCTGGATATAGAGTTCAAAACCACACTTTTAAGGTCTTTAAAGAACTGTCTAGAAGCCGCCGATAAATGTAGTGAGATTTTCAAGAAGACTGGTGAGACCGCCAATAAATGTAGTGAGATCTTCAAGAAATCTAGTGAAACCCTCGATGTTGGGATAAAGAACCAACTAGAAATTAAGCATACACTGACTGAAATAAAGAATATTATACAGAATCCCAACAGCAGACCAGAGAATCGCAAGAATCAAGTCAAATATTTGAAATATGAAGAAGCAAAAAACACCCAACCGGAAAAGCAAAATGAAAAAAGAATCCAAAAATATGAAGATAGTGTAAGGAGCCTCTGGGACAGCTTCAAGTGTACCAACATCCGAATTATAGGGGTGCCAGAAGAAGAGAGAGAGCAAGATATTGAAAACCTATTTGAAGGAATAATGACAGAAAACTTCCCCTACCTGGTGAAAGAAATAGACTTCCAAGTCCAGGAAGCGCATAGAACCCCAAACAAAAGGAATCCAAAAAGGACCACACCAAGACACATCATAATTAAAATGCCAAGGGCAAAAGACAAAGAGAGAATCTTAAAAGCAGCAAGAGAAAGAAAATTAGTTACCTACAAGGGAGTACCCATACGACTGTCAGCTGATTTCTCAACAGAAACTTTGCAGGCCAGAAGGGAGTGGCAAGAAATATTCAAAGTGATGAATACCAAGAACCTACAACCAAGACTACTTTATCCAGCAAAGCTATCATTCAGAAGTGAAGGCCAGATAAAGAGCGTCACAGATAAGAAAAAGCTAAAGGAGTTCATCACCACCAAACCAGTATTATATGAAATGCTAAAAGGTATCCTTTAAGAAGAGGAAGAAGAAGAAAAAGGTAAAGATACAAATATGAACAACAAATACACATCTATCATCAAGTGAATCTAAAAATCAAGTGAATAAATAATCTGATGAACAGTATGAACTGGTGATTGTAATAGAATCAGGGACATAGAATGGGAATGGACTGACTATTCTTGGGAGGGGAAAGGGATGTGGGGGGTGAGGGAAGAGATTGGACAATAATGGTGCACCTATGGATGAGGACAGTGGGTGGGGAGTGAGGGCGGTGGGTGGGGTGGGAACTGGGTGGAGGGGAGTTATGGTGGGAAAAAGAGTAACTAATGTAATAATCTGAATAAAGATTTAATTTAAAAAAATTTTAATAAAAAAATCTAGATATAAAATTCCATGCTATC